TATAAACCCACCCTTGTGGTGCTGGTGATTGAGCTTTCGCTCTCAGCTCTCCCGCTCTCAGCTCTCCCGCTCTCTCTGCTGATGCTGGTGCTAGAGCTTTCGCTCTCTGCTCTCCCGCTCTCTCTGCTGATGCTGGTGGTAGAGCTTTCGCTCTCTGCTCTCCCGCTCTCTCTGTACAGATGTTAGTTGGTTGAGGTTCGTGTCTCCACTCTGTACTGATGTTGGTTGGTTGAGGTTCATGTCTCAACTCTGGAGCTTTTATCAGTGCTATCAGTGATGCCCGAGCGATCACTGTGCTTTTCCCTCCCATCTAAGTCACGACCGAGCAAGTACTTAAACTAATTTTGATTAATGCCATAGCTTAACTACTAACAAATGCCGTCACTTAACCTAATAATGAAAATAAAACATAATAATAACAAAAATAATAGTAACTAATAATAAGAGATCCTTCATGGTGAAAAATAATGTGGGGGAGCGTCTGCTCCTTCACACGCCCTCCTCACTTCGGGGGGTCCGAATAGTAACGGTGACAGCGTGGCGGCGCGTTATTTTGATGCGGAAGCAGTGTCCGTCGTGTACCTCCAGTCGCCTTACCCCTGACCGGGCCGTGGCCTTGCGCAGATAGACCGTCATGTTGCTGATCAGGTCTAAGGGCAACTGGCGGTCCGGCGTGTTGATCCGCCACTCCACTGGTGCTTCTGCCCAGCCTGCCTCGTCCTGTACCACCGCTACTCCCGGGTGGAGTCGAACTAGCTGCAGTAAGTCGGCATTTCCTCGAACGACAGTGGAAGGCTGCAGTCCGATTCTGCCGGCTCTTCTCCGAAAAGTGGTGGTAATAGCTCTTCTTGGGCTACGGGTGGGGGAGTGTCACTGGTTGGCGGTAGCAAAGGAGCGTCACCTTGGGGTGCGAAGCTCAGGCTCATCAGTGACACTACGTCAGACTCCGGCGATGGTGCGTCGTGACGAAGCTCCGCTTCTTTTCCCGGGTCGCTGTGTCCGGCTGTGGCCGCGTAGCGGGAGCCTTCTTCCTGGGGCTCTGTGACTGCTCTCTCTCCACCGAATTCGGCCTGCCTGGGGTTCACCAGGTCCCATTCTGCCCAAAGAGGGAATTCCCAATCGACTGGCAGGGGCGAGGTGACGGTACTGTCACTTGGGGCAACGGTGTTTCCTTGGTAGCCAGAGTCGATCGTGCCCATCAGGGTGGAAACCGGACTGCCTTGACTACGCAGGATCGTGTCCTGATCATCGGTGTCCGTGGTCACGTTTTCGTCGTCGACAGCGGGACCATAGGCCCCAAACAAACGACGGTTCAAGGCGGCGACGTTGTGATTGGGGACGCCATTAGTCGCGAAGCGGCCGTCGGCTCTCTCTCTTCTTCTGCCTCTGCTTCCTGCTCGCTACACTCGGATATATCCGAGTAGTGGGGACCTTCCTCTCCTTTCTCTGCCTCTGCGTTATGGACCAATGGCGGCTGTTGCTTAAGCCATCCTGATACGGCGGCCAATCGCTGGTCCCGGGGGATTCGCTGGTAGTCGGCGAAGGCTTCTTGCTCCGTCCGAAAGCAATCTGGCATCGGATAGCCCGATGGCCCATATGGGGTGTAGCCACGACTGGTTGTTGTAGCGTTGTCCCGCGTCGTTTTAGCCGTCCTGCCCCTTGCTTGTTGCCCTCCGTTGGAACGCCTGGTTGTGTCGCCACGTGCTTCTAGGGGTCGGCCCGCTCTCTCGTTATGTCGACGCTTCATGTTCGTCCGCCTAAGGAGTAAACCCCTAGCGGTTACTACCTGCCTGTCTTATATGAATGAAATTGGTACCCTCCCCCTATCCTGCTTGAGCGGTGCTGGTGAGAAGGTTAATACATTGGTTCTTAATCTAATCCCTTAAGGGGATATATACGTATGACAGCTTACGGCTTATGGATTTGCCCTTTTGGGGCAAAGACGTTACGACAGCGCGCTACCGCAAGTGGCCCTTGTGTATCGGTGATCATGCTGGTGTCTTCGGTGTCGTCTCAGTTGGTTCGTCGTGCATTGTCTTCGGAGTAGGTCGACTGGCCCTGGTAGTGTCCAGCGGTGTCGCAGCCGCCTTCGCTGAAGTTTCGTGATTCCTGTGTGTGTCTGGCATTGCGTTACTGGCAGACGGACTGGCCCTGGGTGCATCCAGCGGTGTCGCAGTCGTCTCCGTCGAAGTTCCGTGATTCTTGTGTGTGTCTGGCATTGCGTTGCTGGCAGACGGACTGGCCCTGGGTGCATCCAGCGGTGTCGCAGTCGTCTCCGTCGAAGTTCCCGGATTCCTGTGTGTGTCTGGCTTGGTCGAATCCTGTTGTGTCTGTGCTGCGGGGTCTGGCTTGAGCGTTGCTTGGCGTAGAATGGTCCAATTGTGTCGTAGTCATTGTCCTTTGTAATCGCTGCTCTTTGTATTCCTGATCGATGGTCTTTTAGTCCCGTGTGCGTTGTGTCTCCAGTTGGGGCTGCTTACTGACTGCCGGCTATCCTGATCGTTGCTGGTCTGCTGGTGATCCTGGTCGTCGCTGCTCCTTGTGCTCGTGATCGATGGTCTTTTAGTCCCGGGTGCGTTGTGTCTACAGTTGAGGCTGCTTACTGACTGCCGGCTATCCTGATAGTTGCTGGTCTGCTGGTGATCCTGGTCGTCGCTGCTCCTTGTGCTCGTGATCGATGGTCTTTTAGTCCCGGGTGCGTTGTGTCTACAGTTGAGGCTGCTTACTGACTGCCGGCTATCCTGATAGTTGCTGGTCTGCTGGTGATCCTGGTCGTCGCTGCTCCTTGTGCTCGTGATCGATGGTCTTTTAGTCCCGGGTGCGTTGTGTCTACAGTTGAGGCTGCTTACTGACTGCCGGCTATCCTGATAGTTGCTGGTCTGCTGGTGATCCTGGTCGTCGCTGCTCCTTGTGCTCGTGATCGATGGTCTTTTAGTCCCGGGTGCGTTGTGTCTACAGTTGAGGCTGCTTACTGACTGCCTGTTGTGTCTCTGCTGCTGACTGCGCCTCTGCTGCTGACTGTGTTTCTGCTGCTGACTGCGCCTCTGCTGCTGACTGCGCCTCTGCTGCTGACTGCGCCTCGAGAGGTTAGGGAAGCCAGGCTCGGCCGTACGTGAAAATTTGGGCAAGTGCGGTTAGCAACGACAGCGACAATACAATCATTCTACTCCTATCAACGTCGACCGACCCCGCCGCTGCGCGTCCGGCACGCTGGCATGACTGCCACGCGGCCACTGGAAGAACCTGATTCAACTGGCTGGAACCCCCCGTTCTTTCCCTTCTAGCTCAATAACACACCCCTTGGCCACTCAAAACACCTCGGAAGTCTCGGAGTCCCTGCTCGGGCGCCATCTGTAAGGATGCGATCTAGGCTGGGGTATAACTCTCAGTCAAGCCAGGGTCGAAATTACAGCCATATTTATAATTTGCCGGGACTCCGAGTCATGAGTGGCCATGGGACGGAGATTTCGTCTCGGGGATGCCAAGGCCAAGGGAAACGTGCGAAAGGGGGGTAGAACGGTCGAGATCTTCTGTAGAGTGCCTGGGCAGTCGCCGGGCGGCACCTAAGGGAAGCTACAGGGCAAGGGGAAGGAGAGTAGGCGCAGAGACCCTCCCAAAGATACCTGGGCAGTCGCCGGGCGGCACTTCGGGGAAGGTACAGGGCAAGGGGAAGGAGAGCAGGCGCAGGGACCCTCCCAAAGATACCTGGGCAGTCGCCGGGTGGCACTTCGGGGAAGGTGCAGGTCTGCGGGGGGAAGGGAGACAGCCATAGATAGCCAGAGGATGCCTGGGCAGTCGCCGGGCGGCACCCCCGGGAAACTATAGGGTAAGGGGAAGGAGAGTAGGCGCAGAGACCCTCCCAAAGATACCTGGGCAGTCGCCGGCCGGCATTTCGGGGAAGGTATAGGTCTGCGGGGGGGAAGGGAGACAGCCATAGATAGCCAGAGGATGCCTGGGCAGTCGCCGGGCGGCACCCCTGGAAAACTATAGGGTAAGGGGAAGGAGAGTAGGCGCAGAGACCCTCCCAAAGATACCTGGGCAGTCGCCGGGCGGCATTTCGGTGAGGGTACAGGTCTGCGGGGGGAAGGCAGACAGCTATAGATAGCCAGAGGATGCCTGGGCAGTCGCCGGGCGGCACCCCCAGGGAAACTATAGGGTAAGGGGAAGGAAAACATGCACAGATCGACAGAGGATGCCTGGGCAATCGCCGGGCGGCACCTCTGGAAAACTACTGGGCAAGGGGGGGAAACACGCACCGATCGACAGATGAAGACGCGCTGGTAGTTATTTAAGTTCCATTTTTATTTTATCTCTTCTTCTTCTTCTTCCTCTTCTCCTGCCTAACCGCACCGCTCGCCAGCCCTCTTCCTCACGACGGTGAGACTTGCTCACCCTTTCCTAGCTCGCCGTCAAAATCTGTCTTCTTCTTTGTCTTCTTGGCTGCTTCCACTGGCACGTCCGTTCAGCTCGCTGGTCTGGAATATATCTCCCCCGTTTTCCATGTGCTTGCGATCTTATAAACCCACCCTTGTGGTGCTGGTGATTGAGCTTTCGCTCTCAGCTCTCCCGCTCTCTCTGCTGATGCTGGTGGTAGAGCTTTCGCTCTCTGCTCTCCCGCTCTCTCTGCTGATGCTGGTGGTAGAGCTTTCGCTCTCTGCTCTCCCGCTCTCTCTGTACAGATGTTAGTTGGTTGAGGTTCGTGTCTCCACTCTGTACTGATGTTGGTTGGTTGAGGTTCATGTCTCAACTCTGGAGCTTTTATCAGTGCTATCAGTGATGCCCGAGCGATCACTGTGCTTTTCCCTCCCATCTAAGTCACGACCGAGCAAGTACTTAAACTAATTTTGATTAATGCCATAGCTTAACTACTAACAAATGCCGTCACTTAACCTAATAATGAAAATAAAACATAATAATAACAAAAATAATAGTAACTAATAATAAGAGATCCTTCATGGTGAAAAATAATGTGGGGGAGCGTCTGCTCCTTCACAATTGCTATAGAGAGCAAACAAGTAACAACTAAAAACAAAAAATATCACACTCGTCAAAAAATTGGAAATTCTAAATTTAAAAAATTTTTGTAAAAGTTTTATTTTATATCCATTCATATAGAATGGAAACACCAAAATTCATACGTCTATTGCGATATTGAATTGCGAGCCACGAGCAGAGTAAGTAACCTAATGGCCAAGTGTGTGGTGTGGGGGGGGACTCACTAATTGATTTCTCCTCCTGCTCGAAGGCACCACTGTGGACGTTCACCACTTTCCTGTCCCTTACTTCTTTCCAGAGCGTAGTACCATGCCCGGGATGAAGCCAACACTTGGCTGTAGCTCCAATTCAGAACTTTCTTCTTGTTTCTTCAGCAGGTCTATCATCAGCTCACGTCTGATCCGCAAGTTGATTATTATTCTGCTTCCTACTGAACTCCTCCTGCTGCTCCTTGCTATGCCAATACAGACGTGCCCGCGCCACCACGACAACTGCAACACGAACTTGAACAAGGCAGGTGTGAGATTGAGGCATAAGACGCAAGATGCAAAAACTGGCCACATCATTTCAAAGGTGAGAAAATATCGTGGAACATCTGACTCGAGGTTTTCGCTACCCGATTGCTTGCATGTGAGGCTCGGGGTTTTCTGGAATGCAGCATACAGCACACAGATGTAGCCAAGGATATACAGTCGAAATTCGCTCAATTCGCTTCTCTCACCTGTCTGTGTACAGCTCCACGTCGAAGTACTGAGTGCGTCTGTATTTCTCGATGGCATTAAAATAGCAATTCACACACCAGTTGCGTGACTTCGTCCGAACGTGGATGGAAATTACAATTGGCAAGCTTCTTGCGAGTGCCCATTTTTTGTTGAAACAATAGTTAGATACTTAAAATTTGTAAAACGGTAGAAATTTTTTTTTGTTTTACACTAAAAATACAAAAATATAAAAACTAGCGTAGAGGCCTTAGAAAACCCAAAAAATTCATAAGGAACAAGGCTTCATTTTGCGCTGGGGTTTAGTCAAGCCAGGGTAAATTACAGCCATATTTATAATTTGCCGGGACTCCGAGTCATGAGTGGCCATGGGACGGAGATTTCGTCTCGGGGATGCCAAGGCCAAGGGAAACGTGCGAAAGGGGGGTAGAACGGTCGCGATCTTCTGTAGAGTGCCTGGGCAGTCGCCGGGCGGCACCTAAGGGAAGCTACAGGGCAAGGGGAAGGAGAGTAGGCGCAGAGACCCTCCCAGAGATACCTGGGCAGTCGCCGGGCGGCACTTCGGGGAAGGTACAGGTCTGCGGGGGAAGGGAAACAGCCATAGATCGCCAGAGGATGCCTGGGCAGTCGCCGGGCGACACCTCGGGGAAACTACAGGGCAAGGGGAAGGAGAGTAGGCGCAGAGCCATCCCAAAGATACCTGGGCAGTCGCCGGGCGGCACTTCGGGGAAGGTACAGGTCTGCGGGGGAAGGGAGACAGCCATAGATAGCCAGAGGATGCCTGGGCAGTCGCCGGGCGGCACCCCCGGGAAACTATAGGGCAAGGGGAAGGAGAGTAGGCGCAGAGACCCTCCCAAAGATACCTGGGCAGTCGCCGGGCGGCACTTCGGGGAAGGTACAGGTCTGCGGGGGGAAGGGAGACAGCCATAGATAGCCAGAGGATGCCTGGGCAGTCGCCGGGCGGCACCCCCGGGAAACTATAGGGCAAGGGGAAGGAGAGTAGGCGCAGAGACCCTCCCAAAGATACCTGGGCAGTCGCCGGGCGGCACTTCGGGGGAGGTACAGGTCTGCGGGGGGAAGGGAGACAGCCATAGATAGCCAGAGGATGCCTGGGCAGTCGCCGGGCGGCACCCCCGGGAAACTACAGGGTAAGGGGAAGAAGGGTAGGCGCAGAGACCCTCCCAAAGATACCTTGGCAGTCGCCGGGCGGCACTTCGGGGAAGGTACAGGTCTGCGGGGGAAGGGAAACAGCCATAGATCGCCAGAGGATGCCTGGGCAGTCGCCGGGCGGCACCCCGGGAAACTATAGGGTAAGGGGGGGAAAACACGCACAGATCGACAGAGGATGCCTGGGCAGTCGCCGGGCGGCACCTCTGGAAAACCTACAGGGCAAGGGGAGGAAACACGCACCGATCGACAGATGAAGACGCGCTGGTAGTTATTTAAGTTCCATTTTTATTTTATCTCTTCTTCCTCTTCTCCTGCCTAACCGCACCGCTCGCCCGCCCTCTTCCTCACGACGGTGAGACTTGCTCACCCTTTCCTAGCTCGCCGTCAATATCTGTCTTCTTCTTCGTCTTCTTGGCTGCTTCCACTGGCACGTCCGTTCAGCTCGCTGGTCTGGAATATATATCTCGTTTTCCATGTGCTTGCGATCTTATAAACCCACCCTTGTGGTGCTGGTGATTGAGCTTTCGCTCTCTGCTCTCCCGCTCTCTCTGCTGATGCTGGTGGTAGAGCTTTCGCTCTCTGCTCTCCCGCTCTCTCTGTACAGATGTTGGTTGGTTGAGGTTCATGTCTCCACTCTGTACTGATGTTGGTTGGTTGAGGTTCATGTCTCCACTCTGTACTGATGTTGGTTGGTTGAGGTTCATGTCTCAACTCTGGAGCTTTTATCAGTGTTATCAGTGATGCCCGAGCGATCACTGTGCTTTTCCCTCCCATCTAAGTCACGACCGAGCAAGTACTTAAACTAATTTTGATTAATGCCATAGCTTAACTACTAACAAATGCCGTCACTTAACCTAATAATGAAAATAAAACATAATAATAACAAAATAATAGTAACTAATAATAAGAGATCCTTCATGGTGAAAAATAATGTGGGGGAGCGTCTGCTCCTTCACACGCCCTCCTCACTTCGGGGGGTCCGAATAGTAACGGTGACAGCGTGGCGGCGCGTTATTTTGATGCGGAAGCAGTGTCCGTCGTGTACCTCCAGTCGCCTTACCCCTGACCGGGCCGTGGCCTTGCGCAGATAGACCGTGATGTTGCTGATCAGGTCTAAGGGCAACTGGCGGTCCGGCGTGTTGATCCGCCACTCCACTGGTGCTTCTGCCCAGCCTGCCTCGTCCTGTACCACCGCTTCTCCCGGGTGGAGTCGAACTAGCTGCAGTAAGTCGGCATGTTCCTCGAACGACAGTGGAAGGCTGCAGTCCGATTCTGCCGGCTCTTCTCCGAAAAGTGGTGGTAATAGCTCTTCTTGGGCTACGGGTGGGGGAGTGTCACTGGTTGGCGGTAGCAAAGGAGCGTCACCTTGGGGTGCGAAGCTCAGGCTCATCAGTGACACTACGTCAGACTCCGGCGATGGTGCGTCGTAACGAAGCTCCGCTTCTTTTCCCGGGTCGCTGTGTCCGGCTGTGGCCGCGTAGCGGGAGCCTTCTTCCTGGGGCTCTGTGACTGCTCTCTCTCCACCGAATTCGGCCTGCCAGGGGTTCACCAGGTCCCATTCTGCCCAAAGAGGGAATTCCCAATCGACTGGCAGGGGCGAGGTGACGGTACTGTCACTTGGGGCAACGGTGCTTCCTTGGTAGCCAGAGTCGATCGCGCCCATCAGGGTGGAAACCGGACTGCCTTGGCTACGTAGGATCGTGTCCTGATCATCGGTGTCCGTGGTCACGTTTTCGTCGTCGACAGCGGGACCATAGGCCCCGAACAAACGACGGTTCAAGGCGGCGACGTTGTGATTGGGGGGTAGTCGGACGCCATTAGTCGCGAAGCGGCCGTCGGGCTCTCTCTCTTCTTCTGCCTCTGCTTCCTGCTCGCTACACTCGGATATATCCCAGTAGTGGGGACCTTCCTCTCGGGGACCTGCGACTACTTCCTCGTTCCCGGGCGGGTCATCCGGTTGAGGGCTCACTAGGTCCCATAATCTCCAACCGTCGGGTTCCCAATCGGCTGGCTGGGGTGAGGTAACGGGGCTGCAACTTGAGGTAGCGTTGCGTGTTGGCGTATTTTCGACATCCGAGAGGGTCGAAACCAGACGGCCCTGGCCACGCGGGGTCGTGTCTTGATCTTCGTGGACTGTGGTTGGTCGTCGGCCCCCAGCTGTCGCGGAGCGGTCGTCAACCTGCTCTCCTTTCTCTGCCTCTGCGTTATGGACCACTGGCTGCTGTTGCTCAAGCCATTCTGATACGGCGGCCAATCGTTGGTCCCGGGGGATTCGCTGGTAGTCGGCGAAGGCTTCTTGCTCCGTCCGAAAGCAATCTGGCATCGGATAGCCCGATGGCCCATATGGGGTGTAGCCACGACTGGTTGTTGTAGCGTTGTCCCGCGTCGTTTTGGCCGTCCTGCCCCTTGCTTGTTGCCCTCCGTTGGAACGCCTGGTTGTGTCGCCACGTGCTTCTAGGGGTCGGCCCGCTCTCTCGTTATGTCGACGCTTCATGTTCGTCCGCCTAAGGAGTAAACCCCTAGCGGTTACTACCTGCCTGTCTTATATGAATGAAATTGGTACCCTCCCCCGATCCTGCTTGAGCGGTGCTGGTGAGAAGGTTAATACATTGGTTCTTAATCTAATCCCTTAAGGGGATATATACGTATGACAGCTTACGGCTTATGGATTTGCCCTTTTGGGGCGAAGACGTTACGACAGCGCGCTACCGCAAGTGGCCCTTGTGTATCGGTGATCATGCTGGTGTCTTCGGTGTCGTCTCAGTTGGTTCGTCGTGCATTGTCTTCGGAGTAGGTCGACTGGCCCTGGTAGTTTCCAGCGGTGTCGCAGCCGCCTTCGCTGAAGTTTCAAAGTTCCTGGCGTTGTGTAAATTGGACTGGTGGGTGTATGAACTAGCCCTGGGAGTGCCCAGCGGTGTCGTAGTTGTCTTCCCCGCAGTCCCGTTGCTCCTGCTTACGTCTGACGTTGATTTGTCGGTAGACGGACTGGCCCTGGGTGCATCCAGCGGTGTCGCAGTCGTCTCCGTCGAAGTTCCGTGATTCTTGTGTGTGTCTGGCATTGCGTTGCTGGCAGACGGACTGGCCCTGGGTGCATCCAGCGGTGTCGCAGTCGTCTCCGTCGAAGTTCCCGGATTCCTGTGTGTGTCTGGCATTGCGTTGCTGGCAGACGGACTGGCCCTGGGTGCATCCAGCGGTGTCGCAGTCGTCTCCGTCGAAGTTCCCGGATTCCTGTGTGTGTCTGGCATTGCGTTGCTGGCAGATGGACTGGCCCTGGGTGCATCCAGCGGTGTCGCAGTCGTCTCCGTCGAAGTTCCCGGATTCCTGTGTGTGTCTGGCATTGCGTTGCTGGCAGATGGACTGGCCCTGGGTGCATCCAGCGGTGTCGCAGTCGTCTCCGTCGAAGTTCCCGGATTCCTGTGTGTGTCTGGCATTGCGTTGCTGGCAGACGGACTGGCCCTGGGTGCATCCAGCGGTGTCGCAGTCGTCTCCGTCGAAGTTCCGTGATTCCTGTGTGTGTCTGGCATTGCGTTGCTGGCAGACGGACTGGCCCTGGGTGCATCCAGCGGTGTCGCAGTCGTCTCCGTCGAAGTTCCGTGATTCTTGTGTCTGGCTTGGTCGAATCCTGTTGTGTCTGTGCTGCGGGGTCTGGCTTGAGCGTTGCTTGGCGTAGAATGGTCCAATTGTGTCGTAGTCATTGTCCTAGTGGTAGTTGTGGAGTTGGTACAGGAACTAGCATTAGCTATAGAAGGTTTGAGTGGTTAAGGGTCGTCACGGAAGGTCACGGTGCGCGTCGTTGTCGGCTGTAACGGGCTGGTTTCCCGAGTCAACGGTAACTATGCTCGCCCGCATTGTATTATGGCCTTGATGTCCCATAGGAAATCCACTGCAAACCCATCTGACCTTTGTAATCGCTGCTCCTTGTATTCATGATCGATGGTCTTTTAGTCCCGTGTGCGTTGTGTCTCCAGTTGGGGCTGCTTACTGACTGCCGGCTATCCTGATCGTTGATGGTCTGTTGGTGATCCTGGTCGTCGCTGCTCCTTGTGCTCGTGATCGATACTCTTTGGTCCCGTGTGCGTTGTGTCTCCAGTTGAGGCTGCTTACTGACTGCCCGTTGCTGGTCTGCTGGTGATCCTGGTCGTCGCTGCTCCTTGTGCTCGTGATCGATACTCTTTGGTCCCGTGTGCGTTGTGTCTCCAGTTGAGGCTGCTTACTGACTGCCCGTTGCTGGTCTGCTGGTGATCCTGGTCGTCGCTGCTCCTTGTGCTCGTGATCGATACTCTTTGGTCCCGTGTGCGTTGTGTCTCCAGTTGAGGCTGCTTACTGACTTGCCGGCTATCCTGATCGTTGCTGGTCTGCTGGTGATCCTGGTCGTCGCTGCTCCTTGTGCTCGTGATCGATGGTCTTTTAGTCCCGTGTGCGTTGTGTCTCCAGTTGAGGCTGCTTACGACTGCCGGCTCTGGCTCGGTGTCCGAAATATATAGCCCGGCCGCTGACTACGTCTCTGCCGCTGGCTGCGTTTCTGCCGCTGACTGTGTCTCTGCTGCTGACTGTGTTTCTGCTGCTGACTGCGCCTCTGCTGTTGACTGCGCCTCTGCTGCTGACTGCGCCTCGAGAGGTTAGGGAAGCCAGGCTCGGCCGTACGTGAAAATTTGGGCAAGTGCGGTTAGCAACGACAGCGACAATACAATCATTCTACTCCTATCAACGTCGACCGACCCCGCCGCTGCGCGTCCGGCACGCTGGCATGACTGCCACGCGGCCACTGGAAGAACCTGATTCAACTGGCTGGAACCCCCCGTTCTTTCCCTTCTAGCTCACTAACACACCCCTTGGCCACTCAAAACACCTCGGAAGTCTCGGAGTCCCTGCTCGGGCGCCATCTGTAAGGACGCGATCTAGGCTGGGGTATAACTCTCAGTCAAGCCAGGGTCGAAATTACAGCCATATTTATAATTTGCCGGGACTCCGAGTCATGAGTGGCCATGGGACGGAGATTTCGTCTCGGGGATGCCAAGGCCAAGGGAAACGTGCGAAAGGGGGGTAGAACGGTCGCGATCTTCTGTAGAGTGCCTGGGCAGTCGCCGGGCGGCACCTAAGGGAAGCTACAGGGCAAGGGGAAGGAGAGTAGGCGCAGAGACCCTCCCAGAGATACCTGGGCAGTCGCCGGGCGGCACTTCGGGGAAGGTACAGGTCTGCGGGGGAAGGGAAACAGCCATAGATCGCCAGAGGATGCCTGGGCAGTCGCCGGGCGACACCTCGGGGAAACTACAGGGCAAGGGGAAGGAGAGTAGGCGCAGAGACCATCCCAAAGATACCTGGGCAGTCGCCGGGCGGCACTTCGGGGAAGGTACAGGTCTGCGGGGGGAAGGGAGACAGCCATAGATAGGCAGAGGATGCCTGGGCAGTCGCCGGGCGGCACCCCCGGGAAACTATAGGGCAGGGGGAAGGAGAGTAGGCGCAGAGACCCTCCCAAAGATACCTGGGCAGTCGCCGGGCGGCACTTCGGGGAAGGTACAGGTCTGCGGGGGGAAGGGAGACAGCCATAGATAGCCAGAGGATGCCTGGGCAGTCGCCGGGCGGCACCCCCGGGAAACTATAGGGCAAGGGGAAGGAGAGTAGGCGCAGAGACCCTCCCAAAGATACCTGGGCAGTCGCCGGGCGGCACTTCGGGGGAGGTACAGGTCTGCGGGGGGAAGGGAGACAGCCATAGATAGCCAGAGGATGCCTGGGCAGTCGCCGGGCGGCACCCCCGGGAAACTACAGGGTAAGGGGAAGAAGGGTAGGCGCAGAGACCCTCCCAAAGATACCTTGGCAGTCGCCGGGCGGCACTTCGGGGAAGGTACAGGTCTGCGGGGGAAGGGAAACAGCCATAGATCGCCAGAGGATGCCTGGGCAGTCGCCGGGCGGCACCCCGGGAAACTATAGGGTAAGGGGGGGAAAACACGCACAGATCGACAGAGGATGCCTGGGCAGTCGCCGGGCGGCACCTCTGGAAAACCTACAGGGCAAGGGGAGGAAACACGCACCGATCGACAGATGAAGACGCGCTGGTAGTTATTTAAGTTCCATTTTTATTTTATCTCTTCTTCCTCTTCTCCTGCCTAACCGCACCGCTCGCCCGCCCTCTTCCTCACGACGGTGAGACTTGCTCACCCTTTCCTAGCTCGCCGTCAATATCTGTCTTCTTCTTCGTCTTCTTGGCTGCTTCCACTGGCACGTCCGTTCAGCTCGCTGGTCTGGAATATATCTCTCGTTTTCCATGTGCTTGCGATCTTATAAACCCACCCTTGTGGTGCTGGTGATTGAGCTTTCGCTCTCTGCTCTCCCGCTCTCTCTGCTGATGCTGGTGGTAGAGCTTTCGCTCTCTGCTCTCCCGCTCTCTCTGTACAGATGTTGGTTGGTTGAGGTTCATGTCTCCACTCTGTACTGATGTTGGTTGGTTGAGGTTCATGTCTCCACTCTGTACTGATGTTGGTTGGTTGAGGTTCATGTCTCAACTCTGGAGCTTTTATCAGTGTTATCAGTGATGCCCGAGCGATCACTGTGCTTTTCCCTCCCATCTAAGTCACGACCGAGCAAGTACTTAAACTAATTTTGATTAATGCCATAGCTTAACTACTAACAAATGCCGTCACTTAACCTAATAATGAAAATAAAACATAATAATAACAAAATAATAGTAACTAATAATAAGAGATCCTTCATGGTGAAAAAAATGTGTGTAAGAAAAAAAAAAAAAAAAAAAAAAAAAAAAAAAAAAAAAAAAAAAAAAACCCAAAAAAAATGAAAATTTTAAATTAAAAAATTTTTTAAAAGTTTTTTATTTTATATCCATTCATATAGAATGGAAACACCAAAATTCATACGTCTATTGCGATATTGAATTGCGAGCCACGAGCAGAGTAAGTAACCTAATGGCCAAGTGTGTGGTGTGGGGGGGACTCACTAATTGATTTCTCCTCCTGCTCGAAGGCACCACTGTGGACGTTCACCACTTTCCTGTCCCTTACTTCTTTCCAGAGCGTAGTACCATGCCCGGGATGAAGCCAACACTTGGCTGTAGCTCCAATTCAGAACTTTCTTCTTGTTTCTTCAGCAGGTCTATCATCAGCTCACGTCTGATCCGCAAGTTGATTATTATTCTGCTTCCTACTGAACTCCTCCTGCTGCTCCTTGCTATGCCAATACAGACGTGCCCGCGCCACCACGACAACTGCAACACGAACTTGAACAAGGCAGGTGTGAGATTGAGGCATAAGACGCAAGATGCAAAAACTGGCCACATCATTTCAAAGGTGAGAAAATATCGTGGAACATCTGACTCGAGGTTTTCGCTACCCGATTGCTTGCATGTGAGGCTCGGGGTTTTCTGGAATGCAGCATACAGCACACAGATGTAGCCAAGGATATACAGTCGAAATTCGCTCAATTCGCTTCTCTCACCTGTCTGTGTACAGCTCCACGTCGAAGTACTGCGGTGCGTCTGTATTTCTCGATGGCATTAAAATAGCAATTCACACACCAGTTGCGTGACTTCGTCCGAACGTGGATGGAAATTACAATTGGCAAGCTTCTTGCGAGTGCCCATTTTTTGTTGAAACAATAGTTAGATACTTAAAATTTGTAAAACGATAGAAATTTTGTTTTACGCTAATACTAAAAATACAAAAATATAAAAACTAGCGTACAGCTCCAAAGTCAGTGCTAGAAGCCCAAGGAACCCAAAGGAACAAAGCGTTCACGCGATAAGACATATTTGTTCCAAACATTTGTGGTTTTATGTACACAAGAATTTTAATTCAAGTGGAAATTGTAATGCAGAATGACAACAAAAGAAAATGTAACGAGAAATTTAAGTTCCATGGCGTTTTTTTCAGTATATATAAGTATATAGGTATGTAAGTATTTGCATGGGCTGGCCACACTGATCGCTAAATAGAAGGAAACGCGCTGTTGAAGAATTATATTTGATCACATTTGCTTTTGTATTCAAAAGTCAAACCCAGGTCCCCTTAGAAACTAACAAAAATTTATTATTGCTATGGAGAGCAAACAAGTAACAACTAAAAACAAAAAATATCACACTCGTCAAAAATTCGAAATTCTAAATTTAAAAAATTTTTGTAAAAGTTTTATTTTATATCCATTCATATAGAATGGAAACACCAAAATTCATACGTCTATTGCGATATTGAATTGCGAGCCACGAGCAGAGTAAGTAACCTAATGGCCAAGTGTGTGGTGTGGGGGGGGGCTCACTAATTGATTTCTCCTCCTGCTCGAAGGCACCACTGTGGACGTTCACCACTTTCCTGTCCCTTACTTCTTTCCAGAGCGTAGTACCATGCCCGGGATGAAGCCAACACTTGGCTGTAGCTCCAATTCAGAACTTTCTTCTTGTTTCTTCAGCAGGTCTATCATCAGCTCACGTCTGATCCGCAAGTTGATTATTATTCTGCTTCCTACTGAACTCCTCCTGCTGCTCCTTGCTATGCCAATACAGACGTGCCCGCGCCACCACGACAACTTCAACACGAACTTGAACAAGGCAGGTGTGAGATTGAGGCATAAGACGCAAGATGCAAAAACTGGCCACATCATTTCAAAGGTGAGAAAATATCGTGGAACATCTGACTCGGGGTTTTCGCTACCCGATTGCTTGCATGTGAGGCTCGGGGTTTTCTGGAATGCAGCATACAGCACACAGATGTAGCCAAGGATATACAGTCGAAATTCGCTCAATTCGCTTCTCTCACCTGTCTGTGTACAGCTCCACGTCGAAGTACTGAGTGCGTCTGTATTTCTCGATGGCATTAAAATAGCAATTCACACACCAGTTGCGTGACTTCGTCCAAACGTGGATGGAAATTACAATTGGCAAGCTTCTTGCGAGTGCCCATTTTTTGTTGAAACAATAGTTAGATACTTAAAATTTGTAAAACGATAGAAATTTTGTTTTACGCTAATACTAAAAATACAAAAATATAAAAACTAGCGTACAGCTCCAAAGTCAGTGCTAGAAGCCCAAGGAACCCAAAGGAACAAAGCGTTCACGCGATAAGACATATTTGTTCCAAACATTTGTGGTTTTATGTACACAAGAATTTTAATTCAAGTGGAAATTGTAATGCAGAATGACAACAAAAGAAAATGTAACGAGAAATTTAAGTTCCATGGCGTTTTTTTCAGTATATATAAGTATATAGGTATGTAAGTATTTGCATGGGCTGGCCACACTGATCGCTAAATAGAAGGAAACGCGCTGTTGAAGAATTATATTTGATCACATTTGCTTTTGTATTCAAAAGTCAAACCCAGGTCCCCTTAGAAACTAACAAAAATTTATTATTGCTATAGAGAGCAAACAAGTAACAACTAAAAACAAAAAATATCACATTCGTCAAAAAATTGGAAATTCTAAATTTAAAAAATTTTTGTAAAAGTTTTATTTTATATCCATTCATATAGAATGGAAACACCAAAATTCTCACGTCTATTGCGATATTGAATTGCGAGCCACGAGCAGAGTAAGTAACCTAATGGCCAAGTGTGTGGTGTGGGGGGGGGACTCACTAATTGATTTCTCCTCCTGCTCGAAGGCACCACTGTGGACGTCCACCACTTTCCTGTCCCTAACTTCTTTCCAGAGCGTAGTACCATGCCCGGGATGAAGCCAACACTTGGCTGTAGCTCCAATTCAGAACTTTCTTCTTGTTTCTTCAGCAGGCCTATCATCAGCTCACGTCTGATCCGCAAGTTGATTATTATTCTGCTTCCTACTGAACTCCTCCTGCTGCTCCTTGCTATGCCAATACAGACGTGCCCGCGCCACCACGACAACTGCAACACGAACTTGAACAAGGCAGGTGTGAGATTGAGGCATAAGACGCAAGATGCAAAAACTGGCCACATCATTTCAAAGGTGAGAAAATATCGTGGAACATCTGACTCGAGGTTTTCGCTACCCGATTGCTTGCATGTGAGGCTCGGGGTTTTCTGGAATGCAGCATACAGCACACAGATGTAGCCAAGGATATACAGTCGAAATTCGCTCAATTCGCTTCTCTCACCTGTCTGTGTACAGCTCCACGTCGAAGTACTGAGTGCGTTTGTATTTCTCGATGGCATTAAAATAGCAATTCACACACCAGTTGCGTGACTTCGTCCGAACGTGGATGGAAATTACAATTGGCAAGCTTCTTGCGAGTGCCCATTTTTTGTTGAAACAATAGTTAGATACTTAAAATAAATTGTAAAACGATAGAAATTTTGTTTTACGCTAATACTAAAAATACAAAAATATAAAAACTAGCGTACAGCTCCAAAGTCAGTGCTAGAAGCCCAAGGAACCCAAAGGAACAAAGCGTTCACGCGATAAGACATATTTGTTCCAAACATTTGTGGTTTTATGTACACAAGAATTTTAATTCAAGTGGAAATTGTAATGCAGAATGACAACAAAAGAAAATGTAACGAGAAATTTAAGTTCCATGGCGTTTTTTTCAGTATATATAAGTATATAGGTATGTAAGTATTTGCATGGGCTGGCCACACTGATCGCTAAATAGAAGGAAACGCGCTGTTGAAGAATTATATTTGATCACATTTGCTTTTGTATTCAAAAGTCAAACCCAGGTCCCCTTAGAAACTAACAAAAATTTATTATTGCTATAGAGAGCAAACAAGTAACAACTAAAAACAAAAAATATCACATTCGTCAAAAAATTGGAAATTCTAAATTTAAAAAATTTTTGTAAAAGTTTTATTTTATATCCATTCATATAGAATGGAAACACCAAAATTCTCACGTCTATTGCGATATTGAATTGCGAGCCACGAGCAGAGTAAGTAACCTAATGGCCAAGTGTGTGGTGTGGGGGGGGGACTCACTAATTGATTTCTCCTCCTGCTCGAAGGCACCACTGTGGACGTCCACCACTTTCCTGTCCCTAACTTCTTTCCAGAGCGTAGTACCATGCCCGGGATGAAGCCAACACTTGGCTGTAGCTCCAATTCAGAACTTTCTTCTTGTTTCTTCAGCAGGTCTATCATCAGCTCACGTCTGATCCGCAAGTTGATTATTATTCTGCTTCCTACTGAACTCCTCCTGCTGCTCCTTGCTATGCCAATACAGACGTGCCCGCGCCACCACGACAACTTCAACACGAACTTGAACAAGGCAGGTGTGAGATTGAGGCATAAGACGCAAGATGCAAAAACTGGCCACATCATTTCAAAGGTGAGAAAATATCGTGGAACATCTGACTCGGGGTTTTCGCTACCCGATTGCTTGCATGTGAGGCTCGGGGTTTTCTGGAATGCAGCATACAGCACACAGATGTAGCCAAGGATATACAGTCGAAATTCGCTCAATTCGCTTCTCTCACCTGTCTGTGTACAGCTCCACGTCGAAGTACTGAGTGCGTCTGTATTTCTCGATGGCATTAAAATAGCAATTCACACACCAGTTGCGTGACTTCGTCCAAACGTGGATGGAAATTACAATTGGCAAGCTTCTTGCGAGTGCCCATTTTTTGTTGAAACAATAGTTAGATACTTAAAATTTGTAAAACGATAGAAATTTTGTTTTACGCTAATACTAAAAATACAAAAATATAAAAACTAGCGTACAGCTCCAAAGTCAGTGCTAGAAGCCCAAGGAACCCAAAGGAACAAAGCGTTCACGCGATAAGACATATTTGTTCCAAACATTTGTGGTTTTATGTACACAAGAATTTTAATTCAAGTGGAAATTGTAATGCAGAATGACAACAAAAGAAAATGTAACGAGAAATTTAAGTTCCATGGCGTTTTTTTCAGTATATATAAGTATATAGGTATGTAAGTATTTGCATGGGCTGGCCACACTGATCGCTAAATAGAAGGAAACGCGCTGTTGAAGAATTATATTTGATCACATTTGCTTTTGTATTCAAAAGTCAAACCCAGGTCCCCTTAGAAACTAACAAAAATTTATTATTGCTATAGAGAGCAAACAAGTAACAACTAAAAACAAAAAATATCACACTCGTCAAAAAATTGGAAATTCTAAATTTAAAAAATTTTTGTAAAAGTTTTATTTTATATCCATTCATATAGAATGGAAACACCAAAATTCATACGTCTATTGCGATATTGAATTGCGAGCCACGAGCAGAGTAAGTAACCTAATGGCCAAGTGTGTGGTGTGGGGGGGGACTCACTAATTGATTTCTCCTCCTGCTCGAAGGCACCACTGTGGACGTTCACCACTTTCCTGTCCCTTACTTCTTTCCAGAGCGTAGTACCATGCCCGGGATGAAGCCAACACTTGGCTGTAGCTCCAATTCAGAACTTTCTTCTTGTTTCTTCAGCAGGTCTATCATCAGCTCACGTCTGATCCGCAAGTTGATTATTATTCTGCTTCCTACTGAACTCCTCCTGCTGCTCCTTGCTATGCCAATACAGACGTGCCCGCGCCACCACGACAACTTCAACACGAACTTGAACAAGGCAGGTGTGAGATTGAGGCATAAGACGCAAGATGCAAAAACTGGCCACATCATTTCAAAGGTGAGAAAATATCGTGGAACATCTGACTCGGGGTTTTCGCTACCCCATTGCTTGCATGTGAGGCTCGGGGTTTTCTGGAATGCAGCATACAGCACACAGATGTAGCCAAGGATATACAGTCGAAATTCGCTCAATTCGCTTCTCTCACCTGTCTGTGTACAGCTCCACGTCGAAGTACTGAGTGCGTCTGTATTTCTCGATGGCATTAAAATAGCAATTCACACACCAGTTGCGTGACTTCGTCCGAACGTGGATGGAAATTACAATTGGCAAGCTTCTTGCGAGTGCCCATTTTTTGTTTTACGCTAATACTAAAAATACAAAAATATAAAAACTAGCGTACAGCTCCAAAGTCAGTGCTAGAAGCCCAAGGAACCCAAAGGAACAAAGCGTTCACGCGATAAGACATATTTGTTCCAAACATTTGTGGTTTTATGTACACAAGAATTTTAATTCAAGTGGAAATTGTAATGCAGAATGACAACAAAAGAAAATGTAACGAGAAATTTAAGTTCCATGGCGTTTTTTTCAGTATATATAAGTATATAGGTATGTAAGTATTTGCATGGGCTGGCCACACTGATCGCTAAATAGAAGGAAACGCGCTGTTGAAGAATTATATTTGATCACATTTGCTTTTGTATTCAAAAGTCAAACCCAGGTCCCCTTAGAAACTAACAAAAATTTATTATTGCTATAGAGAGCAAACAAGTAACAACTAAAAACAAAAAATATCACACTCGTCAAAAAATTCAAATTCTAAATTTAAAAAATGTTTGTAAAAGTTTTATTTTATATCCATTCATATAGAATGGAAACACCAAAATTCTCACATCCTATTGCTATTGAATTGCGAGCCACGAGCAGAGTAAGTAACCTAATGGCCAAGTGTGTGGTGTGGGGGGGGCTCACTAATTGATTTCTCCTCCTGCTCGAAGCCACCACTGTGGACTTCCACCACTTTCCTGTCCCTAACTTCTTTCCAGAGCGTAGTACCATGCCCGGGATGAAGCCAACACTTGGCTGTAGCTCCAATTCAGAACTTTCTTCTTGTTTCTTCAGCAGGTCTATCATCAGCTCACGTCTGATCCGCAAGTTGTTGATTATTATTCTGAACTCCTCCTGCTGCTCCTTGCTATGCCACGAGTAGGCAGAGGGTGTAGTTCATTTCATTTCTGATTCCCTACCCCACTAATTTACTTACAATGATGAGGCTGGCTTTGCAAAAAAGCCAACTATATAGAGTAGCAGCGATGGGCGCGAGGTAGCATCGGGTGGGTTAGGGTTAGGGGGGGGTTAGACATTTTAAATTTAAAGAATTTGTTTTAATATTTATTTTAGGTTTTTGGGTAAACTGACAATATTGCCTAGTCTGGATGTCTGGAATACAACACACATATTCTGGCTTCTTGGGAGTCACATAAATTGAAGAATTATATGTGATCACATTTGCTTTTGTATTCAAAAGTCAAACCCAGGTCCCCTTAGAAACAAACAAAAATTTATTATTGCTATAGAGAGCAAACAAGTAACAACTAAAAACAAAAAATATCACACTCGTCAAAAAATTCAAATTCTAAATTTAAAAAATGTTTGTAAAAGTTTTATTTTATATCCATTCATATAGAATGGAAACACCAAAATTCATACGTCTATTGCGATATTGAATTGCGAGCCACGAGCAGAGTAAGTAACCTAATGGCCAAGTGTGTGGTGTGGGGGGGGACTCACTAATTGATTTCTCCTCCTGCTCGAAGGCACCACTGTGGACGTTCACCACTTTCCTGTCCCTTACTTCTTTCCAGAGCGTAGTACCATGCCCGGGATGAAGCCAACACTTGGCTGTAGCTCCAATTCAGAACTTTCTTCTTGTTTCTTCAGCAGGTCTATCATCAGCTCACGTCTGATCCGCAAGTTGATTATTATTCTGCTTCCTACTGAACTCCTCCTGCTGCTCCTTGCTATGCCAATACAGACGTGCCCGCGCCACCACGACAACTTCAACACGAACTTGAACAAGGCAGGTGTGAGATTGAGGCATAAGACGCAAGATGCAAAAACTGGCCACATCATTTCAAAGGTGAGAAAATATCGTGGAACATCTGACTCGGGGTTTTCGCTACCCGATTGCTTGCATGTGAGGCTCGGGGTTTTCTGGAATGCAGCATACAGCACACAGATGTAGCCAAGGATATACAGTCGAAATTCGCTCAATTCGCTTCTCTCACCTGTCTGTGTACAGCTCCACGTCGAAGTACTGAGTGCGTCTGTATTTCTCGATGGCATTAAAATAGCAATTCACACACCAGTTGCGTGACTTCGTCCGAACGTGGATGGAAATTACAATTGGCAAGCTTCTTGCGAGTGCCCATTTTTTGTTGAAACAATAGTTAGATACTTAAAATTTGTAAAACGATAGAAATTTTGTTTTACGCTAATACTAAAAATACAAAAATATAAAAACTAGCGTACAGCTCCAAAGTCAGTGCTAGAAGCCCAAGGAACCCAAAGGAACAAAGCGTTCACGCGATAAGACATATT